AGCGCAGACTCAGGTGCAGCAAAGCGCGCGCAAGCAGGAAGCGATGTGCAGTTACAGGCAAAAATTACGAGGCACCCAATTTCCTAGTCTAATTAAGGTCCTAATTGCAAAAAAAAATTTGAGAATTCGCGCGGGCTCATCCCCAACTCAAAAATTCCGAAGTAATTTCCTGTGCGATTGCCGCGCCAAAAAGACGGACTTCTGTCGAAAGAGAAAGAAAAGAAAGGAAAAGGACATAGCAGACATTGTTCCCCTGCGCTCACTAAGGCGTGGGCCAACTACCCCGAAGTTCGTACCCACCGCCTCCCTTCTGTCGAAGGACCAAGAGGAAAACGTCGAGAGGAAAAAAAGGACCAAGAACGAGGTATTGCCATGCATTTTATCCCCGATCCCCTCTATGTACCCCCAATCTCGGTTACGCAGAAGATGGCGCTTATCAGAAAAAAACTCGTCACAGCGCCGAGCGTGAGGTTGGGCATCACACTCCCTCAAAATGTCTGTACTCCTCACCCTTACTCCCCCTTGCTAGTGTGCATACGGAAATGTACTTGCCTTGTACAACCTCAACAGGTCTGCTCTCCTTCTCGCCTTTACTCCCCCTTGCGAGTCTGCAAACGGTACTAGGGTTCTTCAGCAGTGAATACAAGAAGCCCCGATCGATAAACTATACCCCCTAGTGTTAGCCACGACCCCTTTCTACATATATACAACTTATGGGTGGTATAGTGCAGGTGGGAGCCGAAAGGCTGGGTATTGAGGATCGCCTCCTGATGAGAGTGGTGCGCAGCCGGTTGAAACATGTAGCGAGAAACGTGCGCGTTTGAGCATGTGACACGTATGAAGTTTGATTGCTGATTCTCAGTGAGCGTGTGCAGAAGCAATTGGCCATTGCTTGTCATCATTCTTCTTTTTCTTCTTCTTGTTCCATCGGAAGGACGCTGCACCTCAGCGTTCTTCGTTTCATAACTATTCAGAAATGTTCTCTTGTTCATACATAAAAACTCTCCTACGTGAACGCTTCGAGATCTACAACAAGCCCAGGCTAAAGCTCTGCCTCCCCTTTCCCAAAGGCTATGGACAGGCTCGTGTCCCCTTGTGCTCGACTTGTGCTAGGTCGGCAGCTGAGGAGAGTACGTCTCTCCCTGTGCTGTGTACACCGGGCTATGGCGTTGAGCCCCATGCAAACAAAAGAACCCTAGTCGCTATGGCAAGCACGTCAGGGGAGCAAAGAGCTACGGTGCTGGCATCCCGCTTAGTCCAGGAACCCCCGATTGTCCAGTATTTTTGCCTTCGAAATGACTTTCGATGCCGGCAAATCTGACACCTTTCGAAACTTTTTCTAAAGAGTTGGTTTCGAAAGGCTAGGCTGTGTGGCGAAGACACGGAGTAGATTTTGCGCTTTTTGAAAGCCTGTGTGGTGAGCCCCTATGATCATACATCCGAAGGCCGT